GTGTCACAGTTTCAGTGTTTCTCTAATACACATTACACGTTATATTTGCTCCTTCTCTCTCGGGCACAAAATAAAACACAGTCTTGGTTAATGACAGACTCAGTCTTACTGTGTAACCGTGTGGATAAATAAAGATGACCTATAGGTCATTTCACTCTAGGAGCGGAAACTCTCATTCCAGTTCACTGTAATCAAAGCAAACTTACTATAATGGTAAAATACAGTGAAATGAGTCACAGTATTTTACACTTTAAAATACACGGATTTACTATAATAAACTGTTTGAAAATAACAAAATAAGAATAGGTCTAACCACTATGACTTTTACCTTATTTTGTTTGTTGCTTCAAACAACAAATCATTATTGTGATTTTGAAACCATCCAATGAAATAAAAGTACCTTTAATTTGTCCTGTGTATCAACATGTTTATATGCACAAATTTATGTCATTCCGAAATAACCCAATCTGATTTTAGAATCTGAAAGTTATGTTTATATGAATCCTAAACTTTACAATCAGACTTGTATATTTGTTTCCACTGACCAGTTTCTAAGACAAAGATAAGTTTCTAAGACATAGGCAAGACATAAATTCATCCACGTAAAGTAGTTGGATTCAGCGTGACTAAAATGTTACTTTTTAACAGAGATCTGCACCGCCCCTTTCAATCGAAATGGAATTTCATTTCAAACAATCTCAATTGGATGGACTGAGGGGTTTACTTGAAAATGTTCAGTCCGTTTATAAACTGATTATTTGGTTGCTAATGTAAACATCTGCAGTAACTTATGGAAAGCACAGGAGTCAGATAATGTCATCTATCCAATCAGATGTCTGTGCAGTTGTCATATTAACAGCAAGCAAAGAAACTCCAGAGGGACGTGCATGTTCTTGAGCAAAAAGTTGTTGTTTATCAGCAGGAATCGAGCAGAAGTACTCATCAGTCAAAGCTGATTGACAGCACAAACACTGCCACTCTCTCTGAAGTGCAAATCCACATAGTGTGACTGCTGGAAAATATTCCAAATAAAATGTTTTCCTTCCTACCTGCATCCAAATTTATATTCAAAGTGGTTTGTGAACAAAGCAGCCACACAGAGAGAGACAGCAAAGGACAGTAATTGTTTAAACTATTTTAAGTGGTACGTTTCAGGACGTTCCGTTTTTTTGTTCATGCGCAAACCCGCTACTCTGATAACAAGAGGAATCTGATGAAAGGCTCTTTTATTCCTCTCTAGCTATCAAACATGATAATTTTTCCTGCTGGTCAGTTTTTCCTGTGTTAATGTGACGGTAAGACAGCTCAACAGCAGGCAAAGACAGTTAAAAGCATCTGGCAGCACATCAGACTGAGAGACAGAGAAAGTGTTTATCTGCAGTATTCAGGGAATGACAGAAATGTTACACCTGCAAGTGTGTGGCCTTATAGAATGCTAAATATCTCATTGTGTGTCATTGTCTTTCATTACCCCGCAATTCAATGCTCACTGCACAGTCTGCTCTTATTTCACAACAGTCTAGAGTTCATTTAATCAATCTCCTGACCTGCAGACGTAACACGGCTCAAGCCCCCGTAAGGTACATCATTAATAGGTACATCACAATCACTTCCTCTGTATAAGTTAAAAAAAAACATCTAAAATCAGCAGTTAGATGTTACTCTCACATATTTGTTTCACATACCACATCTGCAGCAGTTCAATGTGAGCCCTTCCTGTTTAACTGAAGTGCAAAGAGGTTTCTCACACCGTAGCCACAAGGTGAAAGTAATCGTGTTTAACATAACTATGTCAAATCTCAAATGATGACTTGACCATTAGGAAGGGAGCTTGACTGATTCAGATCTTCTTCAGATCTTCAATTCTTCTGTAGTGGTTCTTTGGCTCCAGCAGCTTTGTAGAAAACTTTTTAACAATGCTTAATAAATCAGATGTGGCCATTCACACAGAATGTGTTTTTGTTTTGAAAAACGTAAGATGCGGGCAGTGGAATAAGGTGAATATAAGGCGTGTTTTTTTTTAAGTTGAACTCATTTCAACTTGAGCACTGCATTTTTTAGAACGCTGTGTCATGTGCGAGATGCTGCAAAAGACTTGAGTGCAACTAAAAAACATCACATCACAAATCTGTCAAGTGTATATTTACATAGGAAACAATGCAAAAGTAGCAAAATGGACTGGAAAAAATTGTTGTGAACCAGCCCTAGCAGGCATATACCGTAATGCTGGTGTAATGACCCTTCACTAAGCTCCGTCCCCTTCGGTTACTGTTGCTACAGTAACTCAGACAAGCTTTACAGAATGTCTCATATGAATGAATTGGAGATTTTTATAAACATATTAGTGATTTACAGTAAATTCTGTTTACCAATTGATAAAAATGTTACTTTATAGACTATGAATCAGAATTTTAAGAAAATGCTTCTCACAGTCAACTGAAAAGAGAACAGCCTCCTTTGATGACAATTATAATTGATAATATTAGTGAATTTGATTTGATTATTGTGGTATGATTCATAAGCATTTTCAGATATATTCTGAAGTAGGGTTGTGACGGTGAGGAAATTTTCCCGCCGGTTAATCGACGTGTGACAACACCGGTAATACCGGTATCACCGTGGGGGCGGGGGGTTCCCTCTTTTTCTCGCTTTCCTTCGCTTTTAAATAGCTTGCAAAAGCGGCGTGTGCATTTTACTTTAACTTTTAAATAGTGGCAGTTCGGCGTCAATTGCTTGAATGCAACAACAAAATACAACGTCAAACTCACTTTAGCCTATATATAAAACATAGAACTTTTATTAACAAAACAAATAAAAATACACCATGCTATAGGGCAGGCAATGCCTAAAATAAAATAACAAATAACTTACATAAAGTTTAAATAGGTATACAAAACTGGAAATAAGTAAACATGTATAATATATAACCAAATAAATAAGAAACGTAGAACGTTTATTAGCAAAACGAGTAAGAAAGCTTGGAGGCACGGCATACACCTTGATGTCAAATAAAATAAATAAATGACACAAAGTTTAAATAAAGTAAAAATCAGCAAACAATGTGGAACCAATTAAATAAGAAACGAATGTTTAAAAAAACTTCCAAAATCACCTTAGATAAACGGCAAAAGTCAACAGGCTTTTCAAAATCCAGAATATTGCCAAACAGGTGCTTTGCATTTCGTTTCGAAACTAAATCATCGCGGTGGGCAAGTGGCGTAACCGGTGTTGCGGTTTAACACTGGTATCACCGTCAGCACCGTCTATCGCGGCAAGCCTATTCTGAAGACCCATCTCTTGCAGAGGTGCAACTGAAAACAGGTCAAGAACTGTATTATGGATAAGAAGTGAATGCGTAATACATGGAATATGACTATAATTCCAGTCCATTCATAAATTCTGTAATCAATGCGTTGAATTTATGCTTTGTGATGCATCAGTGCATTTTTACATCTTATTTTCTCCCATGATCCAGGTCTGTCCTGCTTTCTCCCTTTCAGTGTTTTGTCACTATATCTGCCTTACTTAACATGTCTTTGTTGTTTGATATGACTTCAGTTATTCTCATTGAACTCATTGTCCTCTCATTATGACTTTAGAAAGACATGGAGTGTACATTTCCTGCAGTACATTTGTCTATTTTTGTCTGATTGGAGTTTCTTTTGACCACTGTCTGTGTATTTGTGTGCCCTGTCACTCCAAGCCGTACCTTTGACATGCTCTCAAATTGCCTGTCCAATTTCACTAGCAGCACCATGACCCTAGCACTCTGCTTTCTTTTCTCTTTCTAAAGGAAATCCTGTCTGCCGTCATTAACCTATTGCTATCCTGTCCATCTTATTGGCTGTGTTGCCAATAAGATACTACACTATGTTGTGTAGTATCATAGGAAACTTTATCTTTCATCCATCAGTTGTATTGTCTCACTCCTTCACTCCCTGTGCACCCATCAGGTCTGTCACTCTCAATAACATTTTCATTTGTCTTTTCTTGGCAGCCATAGCCATTGGAGACTTTATTATGTCACTATAATATATTATCAATTACTTAAGCAGATAGCTAAGGGTGAAACTTTAATATCAGGAAAAAAAATATCTGTATAGCCCCCCTGATTTTTACCCTGTGATCATAACCATCATTTGAAGTCTTCCCGGTTGTATTAGCAGCCAAGAAAATTAGTATATCCTGGAGAGAACTGTTTTTTTTTATGTCAAGTTCATATCATGTTTCAAAGCAGCTACATCTCTAGTATCTCTTTAATATGTGGTGTATCTCTGTACTTGATGTTAAATTCTGTGGAATATTTATGCTACTCTAACATATTGGCAACACCATTTTGTTTTTTAGTTTGTCTACATTATTTATTGAGCGGTTCAATTCAGTAGTGAACATTTCCTGTAATTTCAATAAAATCAGGTTGTAATTAAAACCATTGTTCATTCTGATGTAATTAGAGTAGCAACCTAACGCATGAAATTAAATTGCAGCTAAAAGTTAAATAGCATGAGTTTATATCAGACAAAGTTGAAATACATCTGTTCTCTGGCGAGACATGTACGTGTGAGTGTGACAAGACTCGGGTTTACTCTTTCAAAGTCATCTGTTCACTATCCTGAAATGTTGTATGTGTGACCTTTTGTTTCTGGTGTCACAAGTGTTGAATAGATTGCACTTAAGTTGTGTGTGTGCAGTTGCTGCTGCTGTTAAGGAAAGCAACAGCTGCTGTTGTACTAGTAAGTTACAATAGGTCTAACAGTGACAGATATATTTACATCATCACCTAACTTAAACTAAACACAAATGTGCACATATTCTTTTCATTTTTCAAACTTTTCACTTTCATTTCAAATTACTTTTAAGTAAATTTTTTATAACTGATTGTTAGTTATTAATGTGTATGTTTAAAAAGCACTATTATACCGATTCACTGTATATCTGTAATCGCTTGTTTCAGAGTCACTTTCTTATGTCATTCCTTTTGTTGTCATCTTTTTTTTCAGCGGCCCGGCATGCCTCCAGGACCACGAATGCCTCATCAGGGGGCCCCAATGGGGCCTCCAGGACCACCATATGGAGGAAGCCCTGCTGTCCGACCCGGACTTAACAATCAGGCCATGGAAGCCAGTCGCAAACGGCCCGCTCCTTCACAGCAGCAGATGCAACAGCAGCAGGCCGTACAGAATCGAAACAGGAAGTAAGTGTAATGTGACATATACTAATCAAGTCAAGTCACCTTTATTTATATAGCGCTTTATACAATACAGATTGTGTCAAAGCAGCTTTACGGTGTTAAACAGGAGAATAGTGTGTTGACAATGCAAAAGGACAATAGTAAACACTCAATTTTTAAGTTAAAGTCAATTCATTATTGAGTCAGTGATGTCATCGTCCAGCTCAGGTAAGTTCAAATAGTATCCGTGCAGTCAAGTCGCCAATATTGCCAGAAATTAAGTGTCCCCAACTAAGCAAGCCAAAGGCGCCAGTGGCAAACAAACCAAAACTATCGGTGACAGAAATGGAGAAAAACAACTTGGGAGAAACCAGGGGGGCCAGTTCTCCTCTGGCCAGACGAAACCTGCATGGTGTGGTTTAATTCCAGACTGCAATGCAAGTCAGATTGAGCAGAGGACTCGTCTGGTTCTTGTAGTCTTGTGCCAATGGCCGTCTAGTTGACGAGATCTTCACAGGGGATATGTCTCTGGGGCTTATTTGGCATGGTCTCCGCTGACATTCGTGGCTGTAGAGGTCGTCTCTTGGTGCTGATCCACCATCTGGACTGGATACGGACTGGATCCAGATGACTGCAGTGACCATCTGATCTGTGCTAAATAGGAAAAGGATCTGCCGCCCACAGTTGATTTTGATATTCTAGGTATTAACAAATGGCCAGAGATCGCAGTAGACGTGAAGAACTATAATGCAATAAGAGCTCGCTCAAGTACTGAGGAGCTAGACCATTCAGGGCTTTATAAGTAATTAGCAAGATTTTAAAATGTATACGTTGTTTAATAGGGAGCCAGTGCAGTTTTGACAGAACTGGGCTAATATGGTCATACTTTCTGGTTCTAGTAAGAACTCTAGCTGCTGCATTTTGGACCAACTGGAGTTTGTTTATTAAGCGCGCAGAGCAACCACCCAATAAAGCATTCCAATAATCTAACCTTGAGGTCATGAATGCATGAAAAACATTTGTTTTACAAATGCTAGAAACATGGCTTTCAAAGAAAAGATTGCTATCAAATAGCACACCTAGGTTCCTAACTGATGACGAAGAACTGACAGAGCAGCCATCAAGTGTTAGACAGTGTTCTAGATTATTACATGCCGAGGTTTTTGGTCCGATAATTAACACCTCTGTTTTTTCAGAATTTAGCAGTAGGAAGTTGCTAGTCATCCAGGTTTTTATATCAACTATGCATTCTGTTAGTTTTGCAAATTGGTATGCTTCATCGTGCTGCGAAGAAATAGAGAGCTGAGTATCATCAGCATAACAGTGAAAGCTAAAACCATGTTTTTTTATGATATCTCCCAAGGGTATCATGTAAAGCGTCAAAAGCAATGGTCCTAGTACTGAGCCTTGTGGTACTCCATACTGCATTTGCGATCGATATGATACCTCATCATTCACTGCTACGAATTGATGATGGCCAGATAAGTATGATTTGAACCATGTTTTTTAATGGCTTAATAACAGCCAGTTTGAAAGTTTTTGGGACATATCCTAATGACAGTGACCAATTAATAATATTCAGAAGAGGATCTATGACTTCAGGAAGCACCTTTTTTAGTAGCTTAGATGGTATAGGGTCTAACATACATGTTGTTGGTTTAGATGATTTAACAAATTTATACAACTCTTCCTCTCCTATAGCAGAGAATGAGTGGAATTGTTCCTCAGGGGATCTATAGTGCAGTATCTGATGCGATACTGTAGCTGACGGCTACGTGGTTATAATTTTATCTCTAATAGTATCGATCTTGGAAGTAAAGAAGTTCATAAAGTCATTACTGCTGTGCTGTTGGGAAATGTCTGTTAATTTACCCACTGTACTGAATAAATACCTGGGGTTGTGTTTGGTTTATTCTGAAAGAGACGAAAAGTAAGCAGATCTAGCAGTTTTTAAGGCTTTTCTGTAGGAGGAAGTACTTTCCCTCCATGCAATACGAAACACCTCTAGTTTTGTTTTCTTCCAGCTGCGCTCCATTTTCCAGGCTGCTCTCTTTAGTGTGTGAGTGTGCTCGTTATACCACGGTGTCGTACTGTTCCTTAATCTTCTTCATGCGTAAAGGAGCAACCATATCTAAAGTGCTAGGAAGAGAGAGTCTGTTTAAGAGAGAGTAGTTTCTGTTACAACATCAAGTTTTTCTAAGCTATCAGATATGCTGAGGAATTGAGACCAGTCAGGAATTTTATTTACAAAGCAGTCTTTCGTGGTAGAAGTGATGGTTCTACCATATTTGTAACAAGGAGTTGAGTTTGCAGCTTTGGCTATATGGAGTATACATGAGACTGGATAATAATCTGATATCATCGCTCTGCTGCAGAATTTCAATGCCATCAACATCAATTCCATGTGATAGTATTAAATCTAAAGGATGATTATGACTATGTAGGTCCTGACACGTTGTCTAGCCCCAATAGAGTTTAGAATGTCTATAAATGCTGATCCCAAAAATTCATCTTTTTCATTATCTACATGGATATTAAAATCACCAACAATTAAGATTTTATCTGCAGCCAGCTAGACTTGCTGCGATAGACGGTGTTTTCGGTTATACCGGTGTTAAGCCGCAACACCAGTTACGTCATTTGCCTACCGTGGCAACGCCCCCCCCCACCGCCTTTTTGATTTTTTTATAGAAACAAAAATCATTTAGCCTAGTTCATTTAGAGGACAGACACTTTTAAAAACTAAACGCTCAATGCAGCGTGCCGAACTGTGCGCGAACAACAGTGCACCACGGAGCAGGAGTCAGATTTTTGTTGATGTTTGCTGATTACTTTATTTAAACTTTGTGTATTTTATTTATTATATTTTACATCAAGGTGTATATGCCGTGCCTCCAAGCTTTCTTATTCGTTTTGCTAATAAACGTTCTGTTTCTTATTTATTTGGTTCCACAGTGTTTGCTGATTTTCAGTTTTATATACCTATTTAAATTGTGTAGAGCCTAAGTAATTTGTTATTTTATTAGGCATATATGGTGTATTT